TAGTTGCTTGCTATTTTGGTAGACTGGATTAACAGCTTCAAAATGGTCCTTTTAAGGAGGTCAAACGGGGAAACAAAACAGAGCCAAGGTGGGTTTTTTTCTTCCTCTCTTGCCCGAAGGGTGAATCATCCCACTTACAAATGGTTAGGACAGCCAAGGGCATTCTGTTGCCTGCAGTGTTCCAGAAGAGGCTTGGGGTAGGAAATAGAAATTCTACTTTTTCCTAGAAAATCGAAGTAACTGTTCAATTCTGATGTTACTTTTTCAGCCACACAAGGGTAGCCTTTCTCTTACATTTAGATGTTCTAAATTTGCAAGAATTGTAAACAAATAATATGCTTACTATTGTGCCTTTCTAGATAAAGATGGGAATTACAGAGTATATCTTTTCCTCTCCTTTCTCTTCTCCTTCTCTGCCCACCTTTGTTATTGATTCTTAAATATTTTTTTTCAGTATATATATAAAAAAAATCAATCCCAGGTAAACACAAGAGAGATTTAAGCCCCTCCTTCTTTTTCTTTTCTGTTAGGACTTTGTCATGTAGACAACTCCAGTCTCCCATGCTGACTGTTTCCCAATTTCTGGCGCTGTAGGGTTAGCATGCTGCAGTTGCTTATGGAATGTGTAGTATTAGCATGCTGCAGCTGCTTAGATAGTATGCAGTATTAGCATGCTGCAGTTGCTTAGATAGTATGCAGTGTTAGCATGCTGCAGTTGCTTAGGGAGTGTGCAATATTAGCATGCCACAATTGCTATCAGCAAGAGGGCTTTTACATCCCCATTCTTTTGAGCAAAGCATATTACAGTTGATTTTTTTCTACAGAAATAAAACATTTGTTATATTTTATTACAATTGTTTTCTTTGTTGCCTACTATTAATCCTATCCCCCCTTATCAGCCTGTGAATAACTGGGATACTTTTGGGTACAGGTTTATGGATTGTTTCTGTCCTCAGAATTAGCTAGAAGTTAAGTGAATACTCATTAGGAACAGGTTCTAATGTGCTGACAGGTGTCTTTGGTTACTATGTATCGTGATACCAATGCTTAGCAAAATTATACAATTACTAAATGTATTTCTGGGCATTCAGAACAGAGGTAGAGGAGCTTCAAATTAAATTTTATCCTTTCAGTATTAGATATATTTTATGTACTTACCCACCACCAAAACAAAACAAATTCCAAGACAAAATTTGAACTAGAATAAAAATTGGCTTCAGATCACCTCCGTAATACCTATTCTAACTGCATAGAAATTTGTGGAGTTGTACAGACTTTGGGTCTGGTTAATTTGGGTGTTTGATGTTTTTATTTATTTGCAAGTCTTTAAGTAATAAAGTTTTAAAACCTAACATAAATAAATACGATTCTGTTGTGGAGCGGAAAGTCTCCAAAAGAGTCCTGGGATTAAGCAGGTCTGTAGCCCTTATTGTCCAGTAACGATAACTCAGGCTGTGGGGTACATCTGCCTGAATAGGATTCCCTGTCCTTGTTAGGCCATGTCCTTGCTTCTGTCAAGTCAGACTGACTCAGCCAGGGACAGGAATCAGACTGACTCAGCCAGGGACAGGAGGCTTTTTCAGTGAGCCATGCTGTGGGGTTTTGTTTAATGCAGTATCTTTGAGACTAATTTTAAACATCGCCTTTCTCTTCTATGTGTTTTATAATCAAGACTCTCAGCCACATGACAGGTCCACAGTTGTCTATAGAAAATATTAAAGTGCCCTTTGTTTCTTCCTATCTGCCCACCGGTGTGGAGACTTCCCTTATATTCTTCCATCGAGATAACTCTGCACTATGAAGAGCATGAAAACAGATCTGAAAATCCAGCTGGTTTCTGTTAAGCCCAATACCAGGGGGGTTACGCAAACATGTAAAAAATGCTACCTTACTTTTGTAGAATTTGAAAAAAAATACTTTGACTCTTAAAATACTTCCATAAAAACATACCATTACACAATTATCCTCACTGTTTCTTATGGGACTTATTCACCACTTTATAATGCTTGTTCTTAGTCATTTAGAAATGAACGACACATACAAAGCATGCAGGATACTTAACAATGTGGAAGTATATGCTTAGATTCTACCACGGTAATAAGTTTTATTATTGTACTACAACCTTATGCATCTTACCAAAATTAAACATTAATAAAGAAATCTTCAAATCAAAACAAAGTGGATTCTTAATCTGACCATACCAATCCAGTATTTATGAAAGATATTTTTAAGTATTTCATGTTTGGATGCCATTACATTTTTAAAACTTGGTTTTTAATTTTTTGCGATTGATTATATAGATACAGTTTTGTGTTATTGGTCTTAGATGCATGAAATTCCTAAATTTACTTACCATTGACATATCACTAGTAGGGTCTTTAAGGCTTTTGCAGACATCTTAGAAGAAGAAAGGTGGTTTTTATTCTCCCCCTCCCATCTCTCTCTTCTTCCCCTTCCTCTCCTTTTCCCATTCTCTTCTTTCCTCCCCCCTTTTCCCTCCTCCCTCCTCCCCATTCCTCTCTCCTCTCTCCCTAGCCCCTTCTGCAACTCATCGCTATTGCGGTGTGCTTAATTCCATATACTTTAAAGTGACTGAGATGCCGGTCCCCCGGGGAGTGTTGACTCACGCTGACCACAGACTTAGAGCATCAGAATGTTCTTACTGGCATTGGGTTTTGCTTCTGTCTGAAATCATGGTCTTTTGCCTTCTTGATTATTTTAGAGTAGGATTTCTTGTGACATACTTCCATCTTTTCCCTACAAAGGTCTGGATTCAGCCATGTTTCCATCCACTATCCGGCTCTAGGATGGGGACGACATGTGTGCATTTTGAAGACCTGGTTCCGTCCTCTTCCTATATCCACTCTTTTAACTGAGAAACCCAGTTCTGTTTCCGCTGCATTTTTTTTGTTTGGAGTGTGTTTTCTCTCTCACCGATTTAATCTTCGTCCATGTAATTGTTACAGTTTTACTGCCTACAGCTGTTTTACCTTATGTTACTCATGGTTTTGGTTTGTAGATTTCTTAAATGTTACACTTCTCTTTCCCTTTCCTAGCAGAAGCTGTCACACACATTGAAACCAGCCCAGTGTTCTTAGGTCCTTAAACTTTTCTCTGTAGTTTTGGCCGCTTTTTTTTCCTTCATGCTTTAGAACAGATATTTTCTGACTTGGTTTTCAGTTCCTTGTCACATCTGAACCACTGTGGAAAACCTTTTGGGGTTACTAAACTCAGTCATTAAAACCAGGCTGTAAATTTTCCCCTGTATTGGTGGTAGATTCTAATCCTCCAGCTAGTTTCCCCTCAGTCCCTCTGACTCTGTTCCATTTGTCTCCTCAGGAGATCCCCCCACACACTCGTTTCCACTCACGTGTTTTTAGGTCCCTTATATCTAGTAGCTTTTGAGTGATGGCTGAGCGTTACTTATAGACAGCATCAAGTCGATAAGGGAATGGTGAGTTCTTTTTTCTGGAGTGGACTTAACTTTCACACCTCAGAGGAGCTGGAAGATTGGCAGAGACCAGAACGGTCTGTTTAAGCTGACTCTAAGCAGGGCTTGCAGCACACGAAAAATGTTCTGTTTTTGTTTTATTTTTCTCCTTGGCAGCAGATGGCAAATCTTTCCCAAAGAGGGCCAGCAAGCACATATTTCAGGTTCTGTTGAAACACTTAAGTCTGCCCTCATATATATGGTCTATAAACAATACGTAAATTAGCAGAGATGGCCATGTTCCCACAAACTCTGTTTACAACATTGAGCGGCTAGTTAGATTGGTAACTCCTTAGGCCTCCCATGTCAAAACCCAGATGACTAAAACTCCTTCTCCCTGAGGCTTTCTGCAAGGCCTTATGAGACTTTGGGGTTCACAGGCTTCTCTGTCCAGTGGCTGCAACTTCTGAATTAGCAATTGCTTGGACGGGGAAGCAGCTGGAACGCTGGGTCTCCGCTCTGCGCGTCCACCATCCTTGTTCCTAAGATGCTGCCAGGGGCTCTCTGATACAGTCACATACAAACATACAGGATTGTTTCTGTGCACAGAACTTGGTTCTTGTTCAGCTGGTCTACCAGATCCAGGAGTTGGTGAACATCTTTTGTAAAATTTGGATTTGTGTTTGCCTTAAAAACAAACGGGAAATCATTTTTGTCCTTTAGATTTTAGACCCCCAAATCTGCTCAGAATCTCTTTGGTCACCCTCTACTTTTACTTGGTTGTTTCTACTAAATCTGTCCCATTTTCTTCACGGTAAGATGTTGCAAACACACAAAAGGAAATAAAACCAGCCACGCTCCCTGGCGTTCCTTTCCTATTTTGTTCTCCACATGGTAGGCAGACTACAAAAATACGCAGTGTAAGTAAGAGGGTGCTTCTCCTATTTAAACCTCTGTGGAGACCCCCATTGTTCTTAGAGCATGAATACAGACAGGAAGACAGGTTTTTTATTACCCGCCTCTAGCTCTTTGGCTAAATTTTTAACATTTCCCACTAAAACCAGAGTGTCAAATTAGCAACCTCAGCCTGAAGTTTAGAGCCAGCCTGTGAGACTGTATCCTTCGATAACTGTAAATTACTTCAGAGCTGTGTATGGTACCTGAAAGGCTAGAAACAGCCTTCAGGGTAGCCAGGCAGTCAGACCGTGTAGCTGTGTACTGTGGGGTTGTACAATCATTTGGTTATGAAAAGAAGTAAATTAATATGTAAAATCAGTAGCATGGAAAGTTGGAATATTAGTCTCTGTCCCCTTAAAGGGGATAGAATTGACGAAATTTTTGAATAGTTTGTCATTAATTTCTGTTTGAAATCATTTAAAACCAAGGCTGTCTCCTTTTCCGTGCTCGTGTGGGGATGTATTGCTCTTTCTTCCCAAACTCCATGCCCTGGGGAGTAGGGAGCAGTCTGGCCATTGAGGTCAGTACCCGCAGCATGAGAACTTGAATTTCACTGCTCCTATCTTGGCTGATGGAGAGGGAGCTCAAGAGCATTTATACCCATCCTTTCCAGGCAGCATCCTGTTCAAGTGGATGAGCATGGACCCCGAGCTCCCGGAGAAGCAGGAGGACATTCTCTCCATCCTGGAAGAACAGTTTCCCAACCTGCCTCCCAGAGATGACATTATCAGCGTGCTGCAGGAGACCCAGCTCAGTGCTCAGGGTGAGTGGTTGTCCTAGCTCCCATGGCTTCCAGGAGGGGTGGCTCGCCCCAGGAGTATTACCAGGAGGTCAATCTGAGCATGCTTGCACTTCCCTCCCTCTTTCTCTGTGCCTGTGGAGGGGCTGCTGGGTTTGTGCTGTTGGTCTGGGAGTGGCCATCTTGTGTTGGAACCCCTTGCCCAGGTTTCTGCCTGGGTGTTTAGCAAATCCAAGTGCTAATACATATAGTACCTGTTGAATAAATTGTTTTGAGAACATTGCTGGAGCAATGCCAAACACAATTGGCTTTCAGAATTCTGATTTCATTTAGAAGGAAGGGAGAGAAGGCGGCTAAGCCAATGAAATAGTGCTCTAAATCTCGGCTTTCGTGGGACAGTGGATTATCGGATTATCCGGATCAAATGTTGTTAATAATAAACAGCTGTGTTTCAGTGAGCGCTGAATCTCCTCAAGGTTCTGATAGTCTCACTCTGCAAGGATGATCTTCCTGAAGCCTCATGACACCCCACTTTCCAGATGAGAACACCGAACCCCAGACATACTTCTTTGCTCTCCCATCATCCAGGGCACATAGCCATGTCAAGTGAGCTGGGTAGAAGCTAACTAAACCCAGAAGGCCCACCTTTAAGGAGAAAATACTAAATTACCAAGTTTTCTCCCCTACTTTGGAGTTCCCTTGAGGCAAAGCAGTTTGTCTGAGGAGTCTCTCAAGTGCTTTAGCGGGCAAGGAAGCCCTGTAGGAGACCAGAGCTCGCAAGGGAACTCTGGGAAAAAGTTAAATCCGAACCTTAGGGTGGTCTCCTGTAGAGTGCAGAGGTGGATGGGCACAGGCCATCTTGAACCTAAGGCCTGGTGGTTAACTTTTTGGAATCTTGTGAGTTGGCTAATATTGGGTTAACAGTGTGGAGTTAGTCATGGTCGATGCTTCAATACCACAGAAACAGACGAAGTGCTGTTAAGTAGGTTCAGTTGTTAAATCGGCAGACCACTGAAATAGTAAGGACTCCCTAGCCCAGTGGAGAGTGAATCCTCCAAAGTTGGCTCTAGTGGTCAGCAAAGACCTCAGCTGGCCAGTGGAGTATGATGCTGGCCAAAATGAGATTAGAAAGAGGTTAGGGAAGTTGGCGGGGCCTTGCCAGCACCTGCCACGTCGACGAGTTCCTGTGCACGCGTGTCGTTACGTGTCTATGCACAGCGGCACAGTGGTGCTTGGCTTCATTCATTCCCTGAGCCACCCAAACTGCTCTTGTGACGATGTGCTCCAGAAATCAAAACAAGTCACAGTTCACTCTGAGTCAAATGAGAATGTGTCCCCATGCGGCTGTGATGGACAGCGTGACTGGCAGGGTGGGCAGTGGACTGTCTTCCTAAGCATCCAGAAAGAAGGCCTGTGCTTTCCAGGGCTCTGTAGTGAATCTTTCCATAGAGAAGGCCAGTTAAACTTTAAGACATACCCGTTCTTGTTTGCCTGCGATAGAGTTCACGGAAATCCTTCAGTCAGCCGACTAGAGTTCTCAACAGCTTTGCCGGTTCAGATTGTTCCTGCCATCAGGGAAGGGCTTGAGTAACACTTACTGCCAGAGATTATTACAGGGGTGGCCAGGTCAATTAAAACAGCTTTTATTTGTGTAAGACAGGCTGGCCCTATGCAACCTGACTTGCTTGCCTGGAACACTCTTCCAAACTGGCCTCGAACCCCTAAAACTCTGCCTGCCTGTGCCTCCCAAGTGCTGGAATGTGAGATGTTCAACAGGGCGCCTTGTTCAATTATGATAGTTTTATGAGCTACATATATAAGGTTTTATAAAATTATACTGGCAATTATAAAATTATAGAGGACCACCTAAATTGGGACTTTTGAGGCTATTACTTGGCTATTTTATATGGTAAGACTGCTCATCCCTTCCCCAGCCAGCCTGGTCTCGGCCTCTGGAGGCTGGTGCCCCAGTGTGTCCTGTTGCAGGCTCTCTCCTCTCTGACTTCTGTTTGGCCAATGGGAAGAGCAGTGAGGGCAGAAAAGGAAGGAAACTAACTAAGGCTGTGCACGCCTTTCCTCCTGCACTCTTGCTGTGAGGTCAGACCCTGACAGATTCTTTTCTCTAGTCCTAGATCCCTTGCCTTTGCTCCTTGCTAGTCCCTGGCTACTTCGTCTTCCATTTCTTCCTTTATCCCGCCACCCCTCTGTAAGTGTCCTGCCATTAAGAGCCGACTTTGGCATGGTGAGGGGTAAATTCTATTTCCTCCCTGCATCTTACTCGATGTAGATACTGCCACAGACGTTGTTTCTGACTTAGAGTGTGTTTATTACAGATAGAAGTAATAATATAAAGCATTGAGCTTAGTAGAATAAACTCTTTAAATAACCCCCAACATGTATTTTTTAACAGATCCCAAGTATAAATTGTTTTTTTTTCTTTTAATCTCTTGCTGTCCACAGGTTTAAGTATTGAACAAACAATTCTGAAAGATCTAAAGGAGCTGTCAGATGGTGAAATAAAAGTGGCTGTCAGCACTGTGACCATGACCCTGGAGGTAAGGACAGGGGGCTTTTCCAGCCAAAAGAGATTTCGCACAATTGCTGCCTGAACACCCGGAGTACAGCCTCATGTTGAGTGAGCCTCTTCTCCCCTGTGAGTCAGGGTAGGGTTTACTCTGAGGGTCTGACTGCCTGGGAGGTTATCGTTGCTGTGGAAACTCTATGTACACCAGTAAAAACCCTTCACGTGTGTCGGTGTTTAGTAGTGATGGTAACAGACATGACGACGGGCACTTGCGTATTTTCTTTGTGCAAACAAGTTGTGGTGTGCCCTTTGTGAGTTGTTTGGTCACATGCCATTTTGGTAATCGGCTGTGACAACTGCAGTGTTAAGAAGGGGCCACAGCCCTCCCGTGCGGTTAATGGACGACTTTGAATGAATGCCACCCTTGTCTTTGTCTTTCCTTGGTAAATTACCTCTTGTCTACTTTGGGGGTTCCCAATGACTTGTGTGTTAATCTTAATTAACCCAACTGATGGGAGCTATATTTTATCGAGGTGAGTCTTTGCCTTTGTGGAAGTCTGTTTGTTTGTTTGTTTGTTTGTTTATTTATGCTATTGCATTTCCTCAGTCAGGCTATCCACCCATCTTTGATTGGAAGCGTGGAGTTCAGAAGTGTGTGGAGATAAAATCTGTTAGATAGGAATGTGTCTTTGGAATGGTATGTTGCTATTTGTATCTTCCTTGTGATGATGGTGCCTGTCTCAGTGTGTCTATTTCTGGGGACTGGCTAGCACACATATTGGGGTCCACACTTCAGAAAACCCAAGAACAAACCTGGACCTTTGTTCTGTGACATCCCTGTGAATCCACCCCCAGTGATTCAGTTCAGCTCCTAGATGATGTACACGAGCCACAAGGGCCGGCTGTCCTCAGCACCAGCACGGAGCACCTCCGAGCTGACAGCACTCCTTTTCAGTGTGTGGCTGGCAGATCAATGCAACAGTTTCCATGGGCCTTCAGACTGATAACTGCTCCATCTAATTAGTTGTGGGTGTGAACCAATACAAGAGATGTGTGCAATTTGGGACGTAGTAACTAGATAATCACGTTCAATTAGAAATCTGCCTCGTGTCTAGAAACCCAAGTAAAACATGGATCCTGCAAGGGTCAGTAGCTCTGAGAATCATTTCTACTGGTTCAAGCCTTAGGGTTTTCTTTAGCTTCCCCCTCCCCTGTCCCACTTCATTTAATGGCATCTTATTAGGTTTTAAATGGCTTGTTTGGAATTCCTTTCTAAATTAACATAGAACGTCTTGTAATTGCTCAGGGAACTGTCTGTAGTTAGTGAGTTATTTTAAGGCTGTGAATATCATAGACTTACTGTAGCTTCGATGTACCTTCATTTGTTTTATAGCAGGATATAAATGGTTTTGTCAAATACATGAAACTATAAACGTTTATCAAGCAGACTCAGAGATGGAATGATTGTATAATCTTGACAGTAATCTCCATGGTGGTCCAGTAATTAATCAGGCAGTTAAGTATAATTCTGGAATTCCTGTGTGATTTTCTGGGAGGGGACAGGGTATTTGTGTATATCAACAGGTATATATGAAACTCACCAGCTGAAAGTGAGCTGGGATGTTATTAACACTGTGTCTGTGGTTACACCAGAGTGATGGCGGTAAAGAGAGAGAGCTGAGAAACAGAGCAAGGACTCCTGCCTAATATGCCATAGCTTCCCTGGAAGACAAGATGCCTACTAATCCAGTATGTCAGTTTAAACCCCACACAGGGTTAAAGGTGGAATTTATCTACCCTACCACCACCACCCCCGCTAAGGCATCCTGTGATACAATGCTGTTTTCCTAACCTCACTTTGGAGATGGAGATAATTCTCACCCTCCTCACCTTGTAAACAGAGACCAGAAAGGCCCAAACATTGCAGTTTTAGCAGAGTTGCTCAGTGCCCCTCTCCATCCGGTTGTGTCTCCAAGGAGGCTCCTCGCTGTCCCCACGGCTTTCTAGATCAGACTTGTTCTTCCAGGCATGGTCGCACTGGGCTGATACTTCTTCCTGGCCCCTAGAAACTCTACTCCTTACGGCCGCCTCTGAGCTCCTATGCAATGCTGTCTGTATAACCACTGACCTCCTGAGGACTTAAGTGTGTACTATGAATTCCATTAAGTGTGAACTGGTTTAGTATATTTATTTATAATTAGATAGTATTTTTAGCTAGTTGGGGGTGCTATTTTTGACATGTCTTCAACTTTTGGGCAAAGTTGTGGGGTAGGTGTTTAGTAAATACAAATATTTATTTGCAATTTGTTTGATATCTGATTGTTACTTGTTTCTGAGTTTATGTACTTTTACACTGTTGAGAACTGAACCCAGGGGGTTAGGTTTCCTAGTTAAATTCTCTGCCATTGCCTAGTTCTTGGGTTTTTCATGTTTTTTTTCCCTCCCTCCCTCCTTCCCTCCCTTCCTTCCTTTTTTTTCTTCCTTCCCTCCCTTCTTCCCTTCCTTCTTTTCCTTCCCTCCCTCTCTCCATTCTTCCTTCTCTTCCGCCCTCCCTCCTTTCTTCCATCTTTTTATTCATATATATATCATATATATATGTATATATATATGATATACACACACATATAGGCTCAGGTGACCTTGAATTCACATTTTTTACCCTTTTTGAGTCAGTTTCTTTCAATTATGACTGAAAGCTAACATCAGATGGATTTTTTAAATGGCCCGCATGTTCATGGCCATCACCACAATCCAGCATCCTAAATATTGAGTTAGTAGTTTTGACTAGCCAGCTGTTAAATCAGAAGAGGGCGATGGGAGGCTCTGAAACAGGTCAGGGACAAGGGAAAAGCACTCCACATGTCTGATGGCCCTTGCGTTGCTATGCTTCCACCATTGTGCTTGACATGGCCTTGGTTTGCCCCATGGACCAATTAATTTTCTTGGGTGTAAATATTCAGAAATCCAAGAAGCTTTTTTCCTTGTAAAGCACAGAGGGAGCCACAGGCGTGGGAGGCAGAAAGCACTGATATTGGCAGGGGTTTCGGGTGTTCTACATGACCACAGGCATGGGAGGTAGAAACCACTGATGTTGACAGAGGGATTCGGGTGTTCTACATGATAAGGAAAAAGCTTGCAGATCCTCTCTGTCATTTTTGATGTAGATTTCTCACAAGTGATAATGGTAACCTAAAATATGCTAAAATTAGTTGTGGGAAGAGCTGCCATAAAAATCAAATTATTATAGTGGCACAGTTTTAGAGCATTACCCTATACACCAGTTATAACTGAAGGTGACTGTAAGGTGTGACAAGTGAAACCCTACCTGAAGTTGGATGGTGGCAGCCGCAACAGGGCCTTCTTCACAGACAGGGCTGCTGGAAGCCTAGGCGCTCAGTCCCTTTCCCCATTTCCTCCAGGCGTTTGAGTCTGATTGCTGCATGCGCCTTGCAAGGAAGGTGCCTCAAGCGGTGGCATCCAGTCCATTGACTGACGGTTGTTGAACTCATCCTTTGGGCCTTTTCATTGGTTACTGACTTGTCCATCAGAAGAAAACGTATGAGCCTTCAAGCTTGTGGTGACTTGGAACCAAAATGACCTTAATTCATTTGCTAGCAGAAGCATTAATGATTCCGGTTGCTGGGCCTCATTTACACCCTGGCAAAGCAGTGCGTTAAGGTGTCTATATCTTCCCATCCTGGTGAGAAGCTGCTGAGGTGGTACTTGGTAGAACTGCCGCAATGGTTCCTTGGTCTACACCTCCTTAAGCGTCTCCCTGGAGATTACAGCACATTGGCGTCTTTACTTTATGAGGACAAAGGTCAGGCGCTGCTGGTTGCTTTTTATCAGTAGCGGCAGGATTTATTCACACACAGATAGACACGAGCTGTAACCAGTTGCCAGGGCTGAGTGAAGGTGCTGTAAGGTCTGCAGACTGCAGGGTTCAACAAAAATCGATTATCTTAAGGTTCTGGAAGCACCAGGCCTCAGATCGAGATGCTTGCGGGGTCAGTGCCTGTGCTGAAGGCCGTGAGAATGAATGACATCCCTTGGCTTGTAGAAGCATCATCCAGATCCCTGACTTTTATCTTCATGTCATCCGCCCTTGGTATGTGGCTCTGTGGCCTGACTCTCCCTGCCCCAGCTTTAAAGACAAGTCACAGTGGACCAGACCCTACCTGATGACCTCATTTAACTTACTTTATCACAGCCCTGTTTCCCAAGAAAGCCACATTCTAAGTGTCTCCAGCTAGGGTCTGACAGAAAGCTTTCAGGGGGACATACGCTGTGATGAGATCTCCGAGCAAGCCCAAGATAAAAAAAACTGACAATGGGTTTGTCTGTGTCAACAGGGACCTATTGCTGCCTCATGCAGGCCAGTTTACTGCAAGCGAGAAGCACCTGCCATCAGAGCTCTTAAGAGTTAATCCATGTTTAGAGTTAGTGTTCTGGGTCACTCTGGGTCATTCTTCTGCAGAGCTGGGAACTTGGGGACTCCTCCTGGCCAGCACTCTGCTGTTTGAAACCCAGGGGAGAGAGCTCCAGGGCTGTATTCTGGTGGGGTGGCTCGGTGCACTGTCTCATCCTGTCCCGTCCAGAGATCACTGTCCACGGGTGCCTTGGAACACAGCAGAGGGGAAAGCACCAGCACTTTCCATTAGCACTGAGCGAGCGCACCGAGCAGAAGGAGCTCCACTCTGCCGTGAGTGCCGCTCCACTCCTCCGTACAGAAGGGAGTATTTACCCAGGCCCATGAATGTAATGCCATCATAGCCAGTGATTTAAGCCCAAGCGAGCCAGTCTGCACGCCACACCTCTTGAGGCACCCATGACAACTTCTCCTTGTTTGAGCATAGATACAGATATTTTTTTAAGTCAAGATGGAGGATCTGCTTTATTGTGTCATAAAATGCAGTTTCTTCCAGGGAAATATTTTTGACTAGCATATTTTTTAAAATGTTAATAAATACTGAACTATTTTTGAAATAAATGACTTTTCTTTTTTTTAATATTTTCCATTTTTATTTATCA